TAAGTTGAGTGAACGTGACTTTTCGTAATAAAATTGAATGATTTGTAAACATTCTTCAGGCGTAAGTCTTTCCATAATGAAACGAGTGATCTCTCAAAAACAGGCTATTGATAAAAGTACTCCTACTTGTGTCACCCGTCACTACTGTACTTTATTTCTTAAAAAAAACGTTTTAATTTTAAAAACAAAAACCGCAAGAATATAGTTATAGACCCATTAGGACTTAGAATACGATACATATCGTAGGTTTAGACTTGCACAGTCAAGTTTAAATATAAGTTATGTGTTCTCTCAATAATTTGTCTATACTCACTTATCTGGTGGACACTCCTTCACGCAGTTACCGTGGTCCTCCCGACTTTTACACGTGTAGCAACCATCACTCGAACTATTGTAGCAGCCGCCGATACATTCGCTGTGACAATGCTGGATACCTCTAAAGAAATTAGAAGAAGACAGTTAAAAACAAGTTCTCAGAAATAAATAATATTAATTTGCCGCCACTTTAATAAGTTTTAACCAAAAGGCAATAAAAGTGTGAAGAGCGGAAGCAGCTATATGCATATATGAATAAATTTAACAATTGATTTGTTTTTAACCATTGATTGGTTCCGCGCACAGAAATTAAGATGTTTATGGCTGCTGTGGGTCCATGAGCAGTAGGTATATGTATATTGCACATATGCAAAATAGATCATCAAAACAAATGCCAATCAAAGACAGCTTCAGTGCAATATTTGGGTGGTCATTTGCAATAATATTTTTTAATAATCAGTGGAATAGATATGACCTTGAAAGTTCATGTGAGTTATTTATTTTTTTTTTTTTTATATTTAGCGGAAAGCTGCATGCTCAGCCTTCGACAGTTGCTGACTGTTTGCTTTGTCAGAATCTATCAAAAGTAAACTCGTTTGACATTACCTGTTAGTTAATTGAATTTTAATCTAATAGCGGGATTCTGTAATCAGTCTCTAGTCTCTATTTGAGACATTTTGTGGTAAAATCTCAATTTGTGACTAGTTACTATTCACTAAATAGTCTCTAGCTTTAGTCTCAAAATATTGCCTCAAATTTGAGACCTGGTAGTTAGCAAGTCACAAAACCAAAAAGAATTCGTGTCTGCCATTTTGAATATACTGAATAGAGATGATCATAGATATTAATCGATTGCATATTTTGTAAGCAACTCAAACACGAAAAGGTTAAAAATAAATAAATTTTACATAAATTTCGTTAATATTATGAAACAAAGTGAACATATATTTATGTTTTTACTGATAATTATGTTTTTTGACTATGTTATARAAAATTTAATATTTGTTATCGACATATTTATTTCCATTCAAGTATAAAAACAACTSTGAATAATGAAATGTAATAGAGTTTGTGACTATCACTTACAGAATAGCAAAATCGTCTCAAGTCTCAAAAATTGTCTCTGTTAAATTTAGAGACTTGATACTGTATCCAGTACAGAATCGCACGGTTATACTACAACTTTTCAAAACTATTTTCAAATAAATTTTATTTTGATAAATTATGACTTACTTGGCGGCATCAATTAGATTGTCATTCTCGAAACGCTGACAAACGTCATTCGACCAACAATGTTCGGTAACACAGTTTTGACAAACGGTTTTCTTGGGGCAATCTTCCGGTGCCATGGAAAAAACATGATTTTCACCCACTGACAATGTGATGCGATCGAAATCAATCTGAAAATTTGTGATTTACATTAGTTTTTCAATGAAGCAATGAGAATATATAAAAAGAAATGTACCTTGTCTACATTGCAGAGCTTCGGACAATTGTTTATGTAAATGTGGCCACGTTGTATCGCTATTAATGAAGAAAATTCCAACTGAAAAAATTGAGACGATATTTGAAAGGTTTCACTTTAATAATATGTACACATACGTATATTTAGTGAGAAACTAAAATTAATTCAAAATTTAAATGTCAAAAAGAATTTCACACGAAGCTTAAATTCTAGCTACTAATGCGACCAAACCGACAGCATGTTTTAAACTAAAGTTTAGATTAGATTAATCTGGTAGGGCCATGAGGAGTAGTCATCCTTTAGGATGCCTGCACTTGTCACAAATTTTAACAGGCTCCTTGGCCTCACTATCAATAACTCCTCCACCAATACCGGAACAAGTGGTAGTCGGAAGGGATAACGCTTGACCTATAAGGTGGGTGAAGCAAAACGTCCCAGTTGCTGTATTCTAAATAGTTTTAAGCCGATCTTACAGCATAAGGCCTATCTTTATCATAGTATAAATTTATTTCCTGTCTTGTGGTAAATTCCGAGCGTTTTTTGATAATCACTAGCTTTAATTTGATGAGTTGTTATCGCTAGCGTTTCTTATTAAAAATTTTACACGGTTTTAGAAGCTCATGATATAGCACCATTTCAATTCATATAACCTCCATATTCCTTGTATTTGATTGTATCCGGTTGCTTTACTGACTCAAACCAAATAACCAAATGTTACGTGAGTTCTTGTGTTTGGCAACAATCTTATTCGGATAATGCTTCCAGTTTCTCATCTTCATTCTAATGTCCTCTTCGTGTTGCAAGCCAAAATCACCACTTTTACTTTTACTTTGGTACGTTTGATCAGCTTGATCATATTCACCACTAAACCATTTTTTCCACACAAAGTTCGATATACTATATACTAAAGGATGATGCATTTTGAGGTTCCCTACTATTGCGACTGGTAACTGGCAAATGACTCGCGTAATATTTTACTCCATGGCCTGAATCAAAGCAGAATAGTCCACATAGACTTTAGACTTTACATATTTCCACAAGAAATAGTCTAACAATGCTCAATATGTGAAATTATTTGCTTAGCGAAGTGTTCGCTCAATAAATCCATTGATTGATGCGACATGTGGGAAGTGGAACCGTCTCGTTTAAACTAAATATCGCCGAGATCACGAGCTCCAATTTCAGGCATCAAATAGTCAGTTATCATTGCACGATAACGATCGCCATTGACGGTTACAATCTCACTGAATTACCTAAATACGGTAATTTTGGTGATTTACATACCTATTGAGACGTAAAATGCGCCAAGTCGTTTCTTACGTCACTTCGAGTTGCTGCGAACGGCGCCGAATTTACACTCTCAGCTACCGCTGCTATATCTTTTTCACAGCGAGCTGGACGTGGTCTATTCGCTCGAACAATATTCAGTAATGAATACTGGGTGTCAAGATGGGGGATGGTATTGCGAATAGTATGCTCAGTAGGCCGATTATGTTGATTATAAGTTGAGCGAAGCACGAGAAGTACATTCTTTACAGAACCTAAAATTATGTAATTAAGTCGAACGATTTGAAACTATTGTTCCGGCGAAAGTCTATTCATGATGAAATGCCAAAGGATACTGAACAAAAATAATATGACAGCTTGACACGAGTCACAAGTGATCTGTCACAAGAAAGGCTACTGAAAAAAGCACCTATTTTTAAATGGGCAGCGTAATGCGCTGAGTCAACTTAGCCATATCCGTTTGTTCATCTGTATTTACGCGAATTAGTCCATTACTTTTTGAAATATCGATATTTTGCACACGGCCTTTTCTTGCTAAGAAGGTATTGATCTATTCGAATCACCGATATTGAACTACTATAGCATATAGCTGCCAATAAAGAAAACTTTTTTCATTCGACAAGACATCTTGAATAAATTTAACATGAACTCAGCTTCAAGGCAATGCTATAATCTCCGAAGGATCTTTTGCGTATTAAGTAACTTCAATTGACTTGAAAGCAGCTTTTATGTAACCACTTAACTAAAAAGAACCAAAAACCAAAACACAAAGCAAATAAAATTTGAGAAGACAATATCAACACTTACCGCTTCCAAATCGGGCATATTCGTAATGCCAAGAGCATAGTTGAGAAATAAACGGCGACCACGTATCACAGCCAAGTTGGGGAATAGATTGCGTATGCTACGCAAACCGCGCACATCGTGAAATATCAGAAAATCGCTGATTTCACGCAGTAACGGAAAAGTATAATTCTCATGATGACATGGTTTCTTCGTTTCATAGTCCTCCGCCGGTATCTGGACAATCAACAGGAAACCACGTATAATAGTGCAGTTATGTAATTGCTCGAAACTCTCACAATCATTACGTATATCAATGCTACGACACTCGCCCGGCTCGGTACGCACTGGCCTGGGCGCTACGCGCGGATTTGTAGCTGCATTGACTGTGGGCAGACGACTCACGGTGAGCAATAAGCCCACAGTGGAAATGAACAAAATTAATAGGAACTTGTGGTTGCCGCATGCCATATGTGGCGCACAAATGCTGCTTAGCGAATAGCTGCTGTTGTTGTGGCAAAGATTTTTAGTCGCGCATTGTTGTTGCCGTCGCCGCTTTGCGATGGAGCGGGTGTGCGGTGCTGATAAGGTTGGCATAATTGTTATCCTCGGTGCTTTTTTATGCGGCGTCTCAACTGATTGCGGTAGTTTATGGTTATTAAGGTTGAGTTGAATTTTTGAAAGTATAGTTTTTGTC